AACCGGGATCATTCCGGCTGTAGCGCGCCCCGTCAGGCGTTCGGCTGAATGACGGCCAGGTCGTTCCGCTGTGCGCGAGTCTGAGCCAGTCGATTCCGCTTGCTTGCAGGCCCAATCCACATCTGTACCGGGCCCGATTCCGCTGCAGCGCGCCAAGGTTGGCCGTTCCGCTGCACGCTTCGTTGACCGGTTCCGTTGGGCGCGCAAGGCCTAGCTCAACCAGTCCGTTCCGCCAGCTCGAAGTCCATTCCGGTGAGAACTGGTTCCGGTTCCGCTGCAATGCGCAGCCATGCCGTTTAGCTGCGGGCCTCGTCCGCCACGGCCGCGTTGCGCGTGAGCGTCAGCAGATCCGTTCCGCCGGCTCGCGACCTTTCCGGTGCGGAACCAGGTCCGGCTCCGCTGCAGCGCACCCCATTCCAGTCATCGGCTGCACGTTCAATGGAGTCTTTACGTTGCGCGTGTAGCTCAGCCGGTCCGATCCGCCCGGTCGCCGGCCCCTGTTCCGGTGCGGAACCGGCTCGTGGGTCCGCCGATTGGCCAGTGATCGGCTGTAAGCACAGCCAAGCGATCTCGACGGCTCTCGGGCAAGAGAGCCGATCATTCCCATAGAATCAGAAAGCTTCAAGCCGCCCCATTGAGCTTGTGCGCTACCTTGAACGACGTCAGGTTGAAATATATATTCTGAAAGCATCCAACAGAATCTCAACATGATGAGTCCTGGGCTTGAAAAAGAACTCGTCTGCTCGTAAGCTTTTTCTCTGTTCCATTTCTCGGAGGGGCCCCTCTTTGAAAGCGCGCGCGGCGCGCGGGTCAAAATGGCGCCGAAGCAGTAATTCGCCCGGCCCGCCGCGTACTTTCAGTGCGTCCCTTCCCACTGAAAATTAGCAGCAGAAGAATAGCACTGTAGCAGTCACAGCTACGGTTTAATGATCCTAGCTGTGTTTTCACCAAGTCAAGCCCGTACATATGATTCAGGTCGATTGCACGTTACAGCATGACTAATCCGGATGGCATGTGATGAAAGAGGTCGGAAGGAAACGGCTGGCCTGCACAGGCCGCTCGTGCCTTTTGGATTTCGGCTAGTATTGGTCATAAATACGTGACGGCAATAAAAGCATACCAGACCCATCATGGCAGGAGCTTATTTGATCAAATGGAAGAGAATGGCTGAAGAGTACACGCAGCTAGCGTCACTTTTATTATTGTCATGTGGAAACATATTCTGTACAGTGTGCTGATTGTCAATCTTATCTTGCTTTGAAATCTTAAGGTGCTCCTAACCAGCTAGTCTGAACGGGAGTTGGGTAGGCGACATCATGAGAGTAGTAACACCCAGCTAATTTGAGCGGCTTGAGTAGACGACGTTTCTGGAGGCGCGGATACCGAGCAGCCGCCGGGTGATTACTTTCCGCGCCGGTTGGTGACGGAAAGTCATACAGGCGGATTTGCCGTACAGAGAACGTCGCGCTATGCATAGGGAAATCAACGGGCGGGGAAGAGGCCCGCCGGGAACCCGCCAGCTGCGTGCGAGAAGAAAATCGTGGCTTTGAGTATCAGCGAGCGAGAGATCGTGAAAATTCGTACGGTCTTTGTGCATCTCAGTCAGGTTTCGAATCTGGCAACACGTCAGGACGACTTGTAAAGCACGGGCAATAATCATTCTTTGAGGCACTTTTAGCCCCCACAGGAGTTAAAGGAAAGTTAGATGGGCTTTTGACACCGGATCAAGAGCCCACTTGATGTGGGCTCTGCTTTGGAATAAATCGCAACCCAGCGAGGAGTCGTAACAAGCAGACCTGAAACCTTAACCACATTCCAGCCCGATTAAGTGGCCGGCTAAGTGCCCTTAACAAACCTAGCTTTCTGAAATGAAAGCTTCCGGTATGTACCTGTAGGTGCGCCGGGGAAGGGGGCGCCCGCGAAACCCGGCGCCGCGCTGGGCCCCGCCAAGGGGCCCGGGGAAGTCGGGCCGGGTGCGACAGCGGTCTGGATAGAGACCGGGGCAACGGAAGCGGTAGAGACCGGGGCAACAGTAGCGATGGGGATCGCGGTAGGGACCGGGGTACCGGTGGTCGGGACGCCCACAAATATTTGACAGGTGCCATTCCTTAACGCGTCGAGAGTCGCGACCATAGGGCAGACGAAGTTCGGGACGCCGCAGCAGAATTGAAGCTGGCCGTCGGCGTAAGAGCAGAGAGTCCCGTTGGGGGTGATGCCATCGGGGGCGCACGAGCCTACGAAGAGGGGAAGAGATACATGTAAAGGACGAAGCGGTGCTGACCATTTCAGGTTGCTTTAGGGCTTGGGCAGCGGTTTGTTTGACCAATCTATTTGGTGAGGTGATGCTCATGTACAAACCGCAGCATTTCATTATATCCTTTGCGCGAGAGGGTTTCAGTCCGCTGTCCCGTTTAGTTCAGATCAAATACGAATTAGAGTCGTCCATAAAATGACTTTCAGAAGAAGTTCATCTGGAGAGACGTCAAATAAAATGACTTTCAGAAGAATCTCATCTGGAGAGTTCAAAGTATTCGTGACTTCGAAGAGCCTTCTCAAAGGGGTTCCGAAAGGGGGTTTCGATCAGTGGCTGGATCTGAAATGCTGTACGACGGAAAGGAGATTGCGGAGGAGCTCAAGGTTGGGATCGACCACATCCTTGTAAGTTGTCATGAAGAACTCTATTTAAGAAGACTTCAACGAAGTGGATTGAGTAGAATGTTTCTCCAAAGCCAGTTAGGATGAGTTAAAACCTAGTAGGATGAGTTACTTTAACCTAGTAGGAGATAGGTGTGACACCTGCGTTCTGAAGCAGCTTGCGCGAGCTGGCGGAAATGTCTTCGCTCGTTTGAGGGTCCCCGTTCCTGCCTCCCTGCTTTGGTAGACGAGCGCCGTACACCTGTGCAGAGAACACATGTTGCGTTCTTTTTCCGTATGGAAATCGATCAATCACATCCAATCAAGCATCTCTGCAACTTCACAAACCGACTTCAACGGGTCAGTACTGATCTGACGTTCCTAAGTTCATGGAGCCAGGGCGGAAAATGTCTTCTGAAGGATCGCAGACTGGCAGGTGTCGCTCAGGTCTCTACTGAACAGCGCGAGGCTCAGTAACACAAGAACAACTCAGGAGATTTTCTCTGGTCAGTTTGGAACAATCCTTGAGAACTTTTGAAACGTGCTCCCACTGTTTCGTGTATTGAAAGACTCGCCGCTTGTGGGCTGCTCTGACTCACCTCGCCGCCCTGCGCTCCCACCAGGAGCAAGCCCACGAGAGCCACGATCGTTCGGGGCGACATTCTTGCGGAGGAGCGGTCGAAGTGCTATCAGAGGCTCTGGGGTGCTTTCGGATTCTGCTTGAGAAGAAGGCTTTGGAAACGATGGTTCATGGAATGCTTTATATATGTATCTTATGAACCCATTGTTCTTGTGTTCAGCCCTCAATATTGAAACGCAACATTGATAGTCAAACGGTAGTCTGCAGACCATACTGGGTCAGACACTTATTTACTTTGTCGCAACAGGCGACCGACACTTAGCTGTGACTTTTGGAGAAAGCACAAGTCAACCCTGCTCGCGACTGACTTTTTGACAGAAAAACGATTATCAACCTTGGAAAGCAGGGGAGGATTCTGCATCGCCCAGATGAACTGCGTGTGGCAGAGACTTTGGCGTAAAGTGTCCAGCAGACGACAAAGGAACGGCAGAGTACCGTAGCCCGACCTTGGAGGACTGTCGAGGCCCACGAGACCTTGAGATCGCTTCAGCACATCAAGAGCGAACTACATAAACGACCGTGATTGCTTGAGTCCTGCTCGGACCGACTTGGAAAATACCCTTGAACCGGAGTTCGATTCACAATGCGGTAAAAGGAAAAAAGTCACCCGAGATCGGGGACGCCAGGATCAAGTGGTTTTTCATAGCTGATCCAGTCGAGGTTGTTGAGAATCACCCTTCATCACATCATAAGCACGCCATCAAACGCCGCAGGCTTCTCATGCCCGTGGAACACGCCGACACATTCTGAGTTTCATCGGGGCTGAACACCCTACACTGAAGCGCCCCTTCTCTCCTAAGCACTTCTCTTAGAATGAATACAATCATCTTCATGTTCGTCTCCTCTATCAAGTCTAGCAGCCTACCAAATCTGATCACT